TGCACAACCACCTTCCCCTTGGCTGCTCTACTCCAAACAAGGCAGACAAAATCAGGCTTCCTACAGTGTTCCCAGCTCTGCTACTGCCCTCCCAGACCAGACTGCCCTTAGACTGAGCAGAGAACAACAGTGTGAGAGGCAGGAAAACATGGCAGCCACAAGCTCCTGGCAGCCATGACAACTTTCCTCTGGTTTTTGTTCTGTCTCTCCCAATGGTTGCAAGAGGGGCTCCTCCCTGCACCACTGCTGTGGGAAGAGACAGGCCCAGCAGCAGAAACCCCCAGGCCACAGCTAAGACCTGGACAGGAGAAAAAAGGGAATGCCAGGACTCAGGCACTGCAGCCTGCCTCCATGGCTCCATCACAAGCCCTGTAAACATTCCCTCTGCCACACCACTGGCATCAGCTGGAGAGCCCAGTGCTGGACAGAAAGCACAGCTGACTGACTGCTCAGCTACAGCTCCAGGGTAAGCACCTACAGCCCCACGGAAGAGCCCTGGGAACTAACTAGTTTTGTTCCCTGTGTCCAGGCCCTTGGGAAGATAAAGCAGTTCTCCCCTGGGCTGCTGTGAGTCGTCCCTGTCCTTCCCCTCCCACTGAGTCTCCCACAGCAGCAGTGTGGTCCCCAGTAAAGCTCAGCCCTCCAAGGCCCCCTCTCTTTGCCTCACCCCCACACGATACCTCTCGTTGGTGAACTTTGCCTGGTGCAGCTCTTCACTGGCACACTCGGTACCAAGGCCCTGGAAAGCAAAATTGGGAAGTTGTGTTCTCCTCTGGACCAGGCACAGCCCATCAAAACTAAGGGGAATGCAGGGATCTGCAAGGGGAAGGACCAGAGCAGGAACAAACTGCTCTTCCAGAAATCATGGCAAAAAAAGGCAGATGTCAAAGAACATCTTTAAAGAGGGAAGGGTTAGATTGGATATGGGAACACCCTGTGAGGGTGGTGAGGCCCTGGCCCAGGGTGCCCAGAGAAGCTGTGGCTGCCCCATCCCTGGAAGTGTCCAAGGCCAGGTTGGACAGAGCTTGGAGCAACCTGGGATAGTGGAAGGTGTCCCTGCCATGGGAAGGGTTTGGAACAAGATGAGCTGGAAGGTCCCTTCCAACCCAAACCAGTCTGTGATGATGAGAGAGCAGCGCTTGGTGACTGGCAGAAAATGTATAATTGAAGTCACATCTGCACTCCCAGAGCTTTTTGGCTCCCACACTGCCCACAGCTCCTCCACATCACCCAGGACAGCAGCTCTGCTGCCTCATGGAGGCCCTCACCTTTGGTAATGTGCCAGATGTCCCAACAAAGAGACAGAGAAAGAACCTGAAAGAACAAGAATAAGGAGCATGAGCATGGGATTCAGCATGTGAGTCTCAGTTCCCAGGCAAGACTGAGATGGTTTATAACAGAGTCAGATCTGAGCTTTAACCTCTGTCCAGAACTGTATAATGGAAGAGAGAACGGCTCAGGAAACAAACACACACACACAAAAAAACCCAAACAAAAACAAAACAAAAAAAACCCCAAACAACAACAAAAAACCAAAAAACAAACAAAAACAAACAAACAAAAAAAATACCCAAAACAAACCCACAATCAACAAAAAACCCAAAAAAAACCCCCAAAAACAAACCACCACTGCTAAATCTGGGCCTCACCCCAAACACAGACAGAGATCCAGGACTCACTTCTTGGCTTTGGCACTGTTGGGGTAATCCACCACCATTCCCCCTGTAAATCCAGCTCTCATGGCTTGGGCAGTGATGAGCTCCAGCTGGAAAAGCAGCAGGTGCAAAGTTAATGAGCAGTCATCCCTCAGGAAAGCCCCAGAGGCCTCTGGGAGCACACACCTGGCTGGGCATTCCCAAGAGGGACTGCTCCTCCTCCTGCTGAGCTCTGCAGCTATCTCCTGGTCCTGCAGTCCCATCCAGACACCAATTCCCTGCCTTTGCTGGTTCTCCCTGCTCCTCAGTCTAGTTGGGGTAGCTGGCACAGCAGACTCTCCAGGAGAGGGATACTGGGCTGGATTTTCCAGACCTGAGTTAAGCCAGTCTTCAAACCCACACTCACATCCTGTCCCCCCACTTTAATTTTAAGGCTCAGCCCAAGACAATCTATGAAACAACAGAACCTGCACAGGGTATCCTCCTCACAGGTTATTTTTTTGGGCTCCTGAAGAGCTTTAGAAGTGGCAGGAGGGACAGAGACACTGCCTTGATGTGGAAGAACACGATGCAAACAGTGAATGATTTCTCTGCCTGTACCCCTCCCAGCTGAGTGATGGGCTGTACCTGCTCTGAGTTCTCAGGGTACAACTGCAGCACAGCTCGGGATCCTCGGGCCTGCAGGAAACAGAGCTGATCACACACCTGCCCCAGAGCAGGTAACCCCTCTGGGTCACCCACCCTAGCCCCAGGCACGAGCTCCCTCCTCCCCAAAACCTCCAGGACAGGGCTCCCAGGAGAGCTGCTCAGCCCACAGAGCCAGTGAGGCACAGGGGGAACACCAGCTATCCCAGAATCATGAACTGCTAGGTTTGGAAAACACCACCAACACCATCAACTCCAACCCTGATGAGAAGCAGCACCAGGCAAGAAGGCAGCAGTGGCCAATCCTGCCAGCCCTGCCTCAGAGCAGCATTTACTTAAAACAACCTGACTTGAAGTATCCTGCTAAAAAGCAAAGCCATAAGAGCAGCAGAGACTTGGCTGGTGGAGGGTGGCACTTACCAGGGCAGTGTAAAGAGTGGAGAAGAATCTGTAGAGGCGTTTGGGGGGGCTGTGTGACTTCTTGTCAGCATTACAGAGCCACTGCACTGCAGAAATACTGAGAAGGAAAATAAGAACCCCAGGATAGAGTCATTGGTTCCTTCACAGAGCTTGCCACCTCCTTTTGAGCTGAATTCTTGCTCTAAGCATGTGCTGGGCCTCAGGGAAATAATTTAATTTCCTCTGTTGCTTTGCCTTCTATTTCACAGCTACACAAACCCCTCTGGAGACTCAGAAAACTTAACAAGGTGCATAAGTTAAAGGACAAAAGCATCACCAAGCATCCACTTTAGTCCAAGTGCTCAAATCCTAGAATGACAGAATGCTTTGGGTTGGAAGGGACCTTAAAGCTCAGCTTGTTCCAGCCCTTGCCAAGGGCAGGAACACCTCCCACTAGACCAGGTTGCTCTAAGCTCTGTCCAACCTGGCCTTGGATGGATCCAGGGATGGGGCAGCCACAGCTGCTCTGGGCACCCTGGAGGCCTCACCACCCTCACAGGGAAGGATTTCTTCTCTGTATCTCACCTGAATTTTCCCCCTTTCAGCCTGAAGCTGTTACTCCTGCTCCAAGCATTACAGCTCCTGAGCAGCACTGCAGAGCTGAGCTGTGTCCCTTGCCTGGCCAAGCAGGTTTTCCCACAGAGCAATTGAAGCCAGAGCTTTTGCCTCAGCAATGGACAGCCCTTGCTTGTTCCCAGCTGTTCTCTGAGCACCTAAGTCACTCTGTCCCCTTCATCCCAAAGCCAAGCATCAAACCTTGCTCCAGGGACTGACTTCTCTAAGCTATGCCACTTTATACTTTGTTCTCCTCCTTGGAGCAGGTCTCAGCCACCCTGACAATATCCCCAGCTTTACTTTCTTCCCTTCAACAAAATTCCTAGCTCAGCAGCACCAAAGGACAAGCATCACCTGGCAAACAGCTGTCACCCAGAACTTTGGAGGTTTGTGCTTTGGAGGAGTGATGAAGCCAAGGTGCACAGAGCAAAGAGAGAGGCTGACACGGCCAGTCCCTCTCACCTGTGATTTACCAGGTGTGCACCATGGGTACTGAGCAGCTCTGGGGGTGTCAGGAGAGCTCAGCTACAGCATAGACTCACCTGATACAGCCATCAAACATGCCAGGCCTGAAGGGGATGCCATGCCCCACATCTGCAAGGAGCAGGTCTCCTTCCACCTCCCTCTCCACGGCCACATCTGCACAGAACACAGCACAGCTCAGGCAATCAGCTCCCACCCCTGGGGCCTCTGAGGGTCTCAGGGGAGGTTGTGCTCACCCAGCATGGCAGGGCTGATGTCCATGCCAATCCAGTAGTGACCCTCCTCAGAGATGTAATCCCCACTCAGCCCTGAGCCACAGCTAGAGGGAGGAAGGGGGAAAGTGCTGGGATCGTGAGGCTGCCCTGAGGCTGTGCTGGCCACGCACACCCAGCGTCACAGCAGCCTGCCCCTCCTATTCAGCCCACAAAAGACACCAGGACACGGCCACCACCCCCTTGCCCGTGCACCCCTCCAGCCCCAGACGTGCCACAGCCCGGGCAGAGCCCCGCTCACCCCACGTCCAGGAGGAGGCACGCGCGGTCCTCGGGCAGCCCCAGCAGCTCCACAGCCCGCTCCGACATCTGCGACTGGATCTCCACCACGCGGGAGCTGAGGCACAGAGCAGAGCCTGGGCGACATCCCCGGCACTGCGGGACCGGAACCGCCCCGCCCCGCGGCAGGACCCGAGCATCGCCCCGCGGCAGGACCCGAGCCTGGCCCTCCCTCCCGCCGCTGCCGGACCCCCAGGCCCCCACGGCTCCCGGCAGGATCCAGGACCAACCCCACCCGCGGTGGTTCCGCCCGATGCCCGCCCCACGCGAGACCCCTCCCCGCCCCACGACAGGCCGCGCTCGGCCCCGCGGCGCCGGTCCCGCCGTACTTCTGGGTGTACTTCCGCGCCTCGGCCTCATCGTAGAACTGTAACGAGAGAGCGGCGGGCGCGGTGAGGCCCGGTCCCCCCAGCCCTGCCCGGTCCCCCCGCCCCAGCCAGGCCCGGTCCCTCACCAGCTCGGGCGGCCCGCGGTGCTCGGGCCGGCGGCCGCTGCCCGCCATGCTGCGCCTGCGTGACGTCACTGCCCGGCGACCGCGCCGTGGCCGCCCGCTGGCCGCTGTGTCTGCAGACGCCACTTCTCCGCCTGGGGGTGGCGTCATTTCTCCGCGCCGCAGCGCTCGTCATGGCGGCGGGCGGGCGCTGAGGCCGCCATGGGCCCGGCGCTGCTCGGGCGGCTGCGGCGGCTCCTCCCCGCGGCCCCGCGGCCCGGCTGCGCCCCGCCGCCGTCCCGGGCCGCGCAGACGGGCGGTGCTGGAGCCCCGCGGTCGCGCCGCGATCTCTACGAGGTGCTGGGTGTCCCGTCCACGGCGACCGCGGCGCAGATCAAGACGGCGTACTACGAGAAGTCCTTCCGCTACCACCCCGACCGCAACGCCGGCAGCGCGGCCGCGGCCGCCCGCTTCGCCGCCGTCAGCGAGGCGTACCGGGTGTTGGGCAGCGCCGCGCTCCGCCGCAAGTACGACCGCGGGCTGCTGAGCGCCGAGGAGCTGCGCGACGCGCCCCGGCCCTCGGGCCGCCCTGCCGCCGCCGCCTCGCCGCCGTCCCGCGCCTCCCCCGCCCGCCCGGGGCCCGTCCCGACACCCTTCGACTTCGACGCCTTCTACCGCGCGCACTACGGGGAGCAGCTGCAGCGGGAGCAGCTGCTGCGGGCGCGGCGGGAGCAGCTGCGCCTCCGGCGGGAGGAGTCCGCGGCACAGGGACGCCTTCGGGCCCTCTCCGATCTCTCCATCGGGCTGCTCTTCTTCCTGGGGGTTGCTCTCATCTACGGCCTCAAGTGACAGCGGGGCGGTGCTGGGGCTGGGCAGCCCCCGGGGTGTCCCCCCAGCTGCACAGTGTCACCGGGGGCCTGGCAGCGGGCTGGGCGTGTGCCCTGCACCGGCCTGGATCCGCTGTTGGGGCTGTGACATTGCACCCTGCCAGTGTGACCTTCAGGCACGGGAAATGGCCAGCAGGCTTGACGGGCTGAGAGCTGGCCCCTGTGGCAGCGTGACCTTCAGACACACAGTGCCCCTGGCTGGCACAGGATGTGCCCTCTGGGTGCCCTCGGGGGCACAGCCTGGGCCAGGCCACTCAGGGTGACCTTGCAGGGGGGGTGCAGGAGCTCTGCAGGCTCTTGCTCTGCCCCTCAGCCAACAGCACCTGCACAGGCCTGGCAAGTGAACACAGTTCTGGACTCTGGACTGGGACGTGTCCCCTCCTTGGCACAGCTGTGTGGCCGTGCTGTGCCCTGGTGCCTGCAGAGGTTAAAGGCTGTCAGAGGTGCTGTGTGTGCTCAGCTGTGCCTCTAGTTGCTGCTGCTGCCAGGCCTGTGCTGTCACACCTGCTGGTACCACCTCTCCTGGGAGCTCCTGATGTCCCAGCTGCATCACCCTGCTCAGAGTGGCAGTACAGGAGTCTTAGATCAGACCTGAAACCTGAGCCCGTGGCCTGCTCAGTGTGTGACATTGTCTGAGCTGTGTGGCAGCACTTTGGTGTCTGCAGCCCTCTGTCCTGCCAGGAGCTTTACACCACCCCTCCCTCTGAGGGTTTGGCTGTGGTGCACCTGTGAGCACCCAGTGCTGTTCTCTGTGTCTTACATGTGTCTGAGCATCATTTGCACAAGAGATTTGCCTATTTAAATGCTGAAGTGTTTTAAGAACTAAAGATTGTGTTTCTCAGAGCCTTTTCTCTCTCCTTGGGTGGAGGTTCACCTGTGCTATGCTGCTGCTGCCTGGAGGGAGAGAAGCCTCCTGGCCATGGCCTGAGTGTGCCAAGGACTGTGTGGGACACTGGGTTTGCTGTCAGTGGGGTGAGCAGCAGCCCAACCCTTGTTCCCTCATCTCCCAGACCCTGGGTTGTGTTTTGTCCCAGCACAAGAATGTTACAGTGAATGCCCTGTGTTTGCACTGTGGATTTCTGTGATCCTGCTCAGAGCTGGGCAGTGGTGCAGCAGGGACACTGTGCCTGCTGCTTGTGCAGGATTGCTCCCTGCCTGCTCTCACAAGCTTGTGCCACCTCCAGCTGCTCACTAGAGGCTGCTGCGTGCTTGGACTGAGCTCAGCCCAGGGGCAGTGAGCTTTCCAGGATCCTCACTGGGTGCCAGTCTGTCCCTTCAGCCGGGATCACAGCTCTGGGATGTCACAGTGGGACACACACAGGAGCCTGGCGTGCCCTGCTGCAGAGGGGAGCTCTGAAGCTGTGGCTCTGGCACCTGCTGATGCACTGTCATGGTCATCTTCATTCTGTAAAGCAAATCACTGAGAAGATCAGAGGTAGTTTTTGGGCAGAATTTGGCAGGAGGCATTACTTTCCAGGCTGGAAAAGCCAGCAGTGTCCGTGGCACTAGGGAGCTCTTCTCTGGCTCCCACCCAAACGGGTTTGGCAGTCCCTGCTGCTGGCTCTTCCTCTTCCTCCTCAAGTCTCCATGATATACCTTGAAGATTAAAGACATCCAGCCATAAATTGGTGACAAAATGACACATCTTTCTTTTTGGTGGGCCTGGGTGGTAAATACTCCTTGCACTTGCTGGAAAACAGGGGTGGGGGGCAGGCAGGTTTCACATCCTGACTTCAGCCAGTGAAGAAGGAGGGAGGGGAGCTCTGTCTCCCTTGCTGGGAAGGGTGGGCAGGCACCCTGCAGTCAGCAGGGCAGGGTGGCCTCTCTGAGGTCCTGTTGAGTGCTGCCTGACACCCAGGGGTGGCTGTGCCCTGGTGACATCCCCTGAGCTGCTGCCTGGACAGGGGAGGGTGCCCTGAACTCTCCAGTGTCACCTTTGCCCTCGTCAGGCCTGACTGCTCCTCTGCTCTGGGAAGGATTTCAGGAGCTTGGGCAGCAAGTGGCTGGAGCTGCTCCAAATGCACAGCCTGCCTCCCAGCTCCCAGCACAGCACTGTTCTGCCCCTTTTTCTGCTTGTGTCAACAGTGTCATGGTATTCTTGCTGTTCCCCAGTTGTTTCCTTGATGGAGAGGTGCCAGGAGAGCTGGGTTTCCTGCTGCTGTCCTTTAGCCAGGGGAGCACAGCCTGTGTGGGTGCCAGGAGTGTGAGATGGCAGGGCTGTGAGCTGTACAGGGTTGGAAGATCAGCAGAGGATAAAGCTCAGTAACTCCCTGTGGCCTTTACATCTGAAGAACCAGGATGCATCCCTGGGGACACTGACACAGAGGGTTGTTCCTGAGAGCAGGAGCCCCCCTTCCTGCAGCTGGGGCAAGGCAGCCATCAGCAGGGTCGCAGCAGAGAACAGCTTCTACTCCCAGCTCCTTTTCCTGCTTTGGGGATGTATCCATGTGTCCAGTCCCTGCAGCACAGCTCAGCAGCAGCTGAGCTGTCCACAGCCCCTCGTGGGCAGGGTGAGGTGGCAGTTTCAGCTGGGGACTTCACCATGAGGTCTTTGCTGGGAGGAGTGTGGTGTTCACAGCAGGGATTTCTTCCTCCTCAGTCTCCAGCCCCCTGGGGCCATTTTTACAGATATTCTAGCACATCCTACCCCTCACACCCTGTCTCCCCATTTCACTTGCCTGCACGTGATGTATTGTGACCGTGTTAGATGCTTGTCTTTTGCTCTCTTGTCCTTTGCACCAGTTTTTGCCAGCTGTGTGTCACCAAAAGTGTGACAGTTGTCTGAGGATGAGTTGCTGGTGGGGCCTCAGCCATCATCCCATGCCCACCCATCCAGGCCTGCACTGCTCTGCCCTGCACCTTCACCCCAGGGGTTGTTTTGGTGTTGCTCATTCCCACCCTTAAATCACTGACAGCAGGCATCAAAGGGAAGCACCAAAATCTGAGTATTTAAAAGCCACTTGGGAATTGGATGCTGTGGCAAGCTAAGGAATTCTAAGGCTCCACAGGGAAACTTAAACATTGGGAATTGGATGCTGTGGCAAGCTAAGGAATTCTAAGGCTCCACAGGGAAACTTAAACAAGCTGGATGGAGCCCGATGGCCCCAATGCTGAGGCCGTCCAAGCTCAGTGCAGACCCCACTCCGCACCCCTAGCCCAGCCCCTTTTCATGGGCTGACCTCCCCATAACTGCAGGTTTGGGGTGCTGAGCTGCCCCCCTCAGCTGGTGGGTGCTGCAGCCTGGGAGTGTGGGGTCTCAGTGCTTCATCAGGGCCTCCTCCTGGAGCTGGCCTGCTCTTTGGAAAGGAAGGGGTCAAACCTGGCTGCTGGCAGACCTTTGATTGTGCCAGCTGGGCTGGGGACATGAGGGGCAGGAACAGGGAGCTGCAGGCTGGGGAGTCCTGAGCAGCAGTGAGGGGTGGCCATCAGCCTCCACCCCCCAAAAGGGCTGGCCTGGCAGGGATGGGGCTGAGGGGACAGCCCCTGGTACAGCCCCAGCCCTCACCTGTGTGGGCAGAGCTCTGCACCCCGGTCCTGCTGCTGCTGGCTCTGCCCTCCCGGGAAGGGCTGCTACGGTTGGCAGCTCCCCCTCCCTTCTGCAGCATCCCCTGAGGCTGCTCCTTGGTTAACAGAGTTAATTGTTAACACACCTCCCTCAGCAGCCCCGTGCCTGCTCCAGGGGCCCCAGCTGAGCACACTGGCACCCCCTTCCTGGCTGGTCCCAGTCCAGGTTTGTACCCCTTTGGCACCCCATTGCCTGGGGGTTGTGGCTCAGGGGATTCCCCGGGGGAGTGGGGGGCACCCCTCTTCTCCCAGCTGTTACCACTCTCCTGGGTTGGGGGCTGCTCCTTTTCCAGCCTGGAGCCAGGCATGGGGGGCACCCCCAGCTCCCTGCCCAGCTCTGGCTGCACACCAGCTGGCAGAAATGAATGCAGGTGCACACCCAGTGCAACCTCTCCTCGTCGTCCTCCTCCTCCCCTGGGTGAGCAGGAGCACCTTTACCCTCCTTGACTCCATCCTGCAGGGCAGGGACAGGCAAGGAGAGCCACAGGGCAGGCAGGAGGGGCAGAGGGGGTCACCCTGTCTGCTGTCAGCCTCTGCCTGTGAGCCAATGTCCCTGCCTGCCCTGTGTCCCCAGTCCCAGCTGGCCTGTGGAGGCCTGGAGCTGTCGGTGCCAATGGGCAGGCAGACAACCCTCAATCCCCAGGGATACAGGGTGCCAGGATCACCACAGCTGGGGTATCCAGCCACCCTCTGGGGCCAGCCAGTGCGTGCCCCAAGCTGGACAGGACCAGCTGCAGGGTGGCGGGAACCTCCCCAGGGCAGGGGCTCACCTGGTTTGGCAGCTTCCCAAAGGATCCCAAGGTTCTCCCCCCTGATGCAGGGTGGTGGCCAGCCCAGCAGGACCGTGGGGTTGCCAGAGCCTGCCCAGTGCTTCCTGAACTTCCTGGGGTGCTGCAGGGCTCCTATGGACTGACAGACAGCCAGACCATGGCAGCACAGCTTACCTTGGTGCTCACACTGTCGCTTCTAGTGCTGCAGCTCTCACAGGACACACTCACCTTGCCCAGGCTGCAGGGGCAGCTGCTCATCCTGAGTCCCCATCCATGGGGCCACTGGGGTGACTCAGGAGCTGCACAGGGCCAGGGAAGTTTGTCCTGTGGCAGACCCACCCAGCCTGGGGCTGCCAGCCCTGGGGAGCCGTGCAGGGCAGGCACTGCCTGGGGAGATGCACTGGGGGGTCTGGCTAGTTTTTGGGTGGCTTTGGTGCTCGTGCACCATCTCATGCCTCAGTGCTGTGCCTGGTCCCCTGTGGCAGGTCAGTGACAGCCCACCAGCACTGTCTGTGGCTATGGGGCTCAGCCCAGGCAGGTGAGCACAGAGCCTGGCTGGCAAACAGGCCTTTCATTGCCAGGCTGAGCCCAAAGTGGGACTCAGGAAAGCAGCAGGTGCTTTGTGAAACTCCAAATAACCCAGTGACTACCACCTCCTCACATGCCAATAAAGGCACAGTGGCTGGTCCCCTATTGATCCTAGTTTTAAACCTGTTTTAACTGGTAATACTGGAATATTAGCCATAAATGGGGGCTAAAGTTTGGCATAAGGGCAGGTAGCCTCAGTGGGGGAGGGTGATCAGACACTGCAAGCTAATGACCTGTATTTTAGGGTGGTTTGTAGCCTGAGCCAGGGCCTTCATAAGGGCAGGTAACCTCAGTGGGGGAGGGTGATCAGACACTGCAAGCTGATGACCTGTATTTTGGGGTAATTTTGGTGTATTTTGTCATTTGGGGTGTATTTTGGTTTGTAGACTGCTTGGAAATCATCCCTGCTGCCTGGGATGATTTCCAAGCAGTCTACATAGCAGTGGCAAGATGCAGGTGGGGCAGGCAGCTGGGAAAGAGGAAAAGAACGATACTGCCAGACAGGCTCTGAGAGCACCAGAAGAGTCTGAAACCAACCCAAAAGCTGAAACCAGCACAATGGACATGCCACAGCAGGAAACAAGCACCCCAGGAGGCTGCAGCTGGAGGAACCAGGCTGTCCCCTGGGGGATGGGGAACACCACCCCTTGGACTCACCATCCATTGTGTGACACCAAGGAAAGGAACAGAAGAGCCTGGGATGGAACAGGCTGAGAGCTCCGGCCTCCTGCCACTTTTTCCAGTGAGGGCTGGTGGAATGGGGGAGGTGGGTAAGGAATGACAAAGGGCACAATGGCCCCCGAGGGGATGAGAAAGGTGAACACAAGTACAGGCTGATGTGACCAGTGGCTGCCAAGCTGTGAGCAAGCCCAGCTGGCCACGGGGTATAACCCTCCATGGGGTGAGGGCTTTGCTGCTGGCATGAGGCATGCTGGGCACCAAAAACCTTCCCCATGTGCAGGGACAGACTGGTCCTTGGCACCTCTCTTGAGGGAAACACACACTCATGGCAGGCTCTGCACCCCTTGCAGGAGCTCTCAACTTCCCCAGGGAAGTGATGTCCTGAGCCAAGTGCAAAGGAAAGGTCTGAGGGCTCCTCAGCCTGGAGGGCTCTCCTTGGCTGCCAGTCACCTCCAAACCTGGCAACTGCTCCCTGGTAACCCTCTCCTCCCTGCCTGTCTCATCCTGCTGTCCATAGCCGGAGCCAAAGGGCAGAGCACAGAAAGAGCACACACAGCATGGAAAGAGGCTTTATTTAGGAAGCATGTGGCACACCCAGTGCTCCTGTGCCTTTTCCCTGCTATCCCTCCCACTTAAGCCCACTGACATCCCTATGAGCCACCCACCCCCACTTCCTGTCCCGTTCCTCCTGCTGTGGATGCAGAGACCTCCCCCCAGCAGCTCCCCAAATGCAGGACCCCCCCATGGCACCTGCCCCACCACGTACCTCCATCCCTCTGTGAGCACCCCATGTGCCTGCCCACAGACCCTTGGGAGCTGTGCCTACAGCACTCCCACCCCTCGGTGTTGCTGCCCAGCCCCCGGGGGGTGCGGGAGCAGGGCCGTGCCCGCCTGCCCCGCTACCGGTGCGGAGGCTCCTGCTCCCGGTGCTGCTGCTGCCCGCGGCCGGGCTGGGGGCTGAGCACGGGGATGTGTCCAACGAGGCGCAGGGGGGAGCCCAGGCTGGGCACTTCGGAGCAGGG